CTGCTGAAAGCGCGTGGCTTTCCGCTCCGACACCATGATACGCGCCGCCGCCTCCTTCGCCGTGTTCAGAATGATATCGGCGTAGGCCTTCTTCAACGCCGTCAATTTCTGATCAAAACGCAAAAAAAAAAAAAAAAATGAAAACCCAAAACGCCAAACGCGGCGCGAATCACACACGAGCGTCCCCATTCCCTGTAAGCCCAGGGAAAAGGAGCGGAACCGGTTTCCTCGTAGCAACGAAAAAACGAAAAAGAAAAACCGCGGTTGGCGGCGGGAGAAGCAGTTGAAGAGGGAAGGGTTTAGTTACCTCGGAATCCTCCATTGTTGTCTTGTCTAATGCATCCGGAAGTGGGTGTTGGGTGGTTGCGTTGAGAGCGAGAAGAGAAACAAGGACAAGGAACGACGAGGAACAGCGAAATGATGGGATGGGAGTTTGTTCTGTTTTTCTTTCTTCCTCTTGGCAGAGTGGAGCTGTGTGTCTGTTAGGAAGTGAGGGTGGAATTACCAGATTGCCCTCCGCGTAATGACATTACATTTACCACGTCGCAATCAGAAACCGTAACACCGGAGCGGGCCCATCTATGTTCTCTTCTCTTCCGTTTTATATTTTTCCACGGTGGACCCCTCACCACCTCCATCTCAGATTGCTAACGTGGACCGATCCATCAAACTTGAAACTGCAACTACTAGGGGCCTTGCCTTAAACGCCAACGTTTTTGGTTTTACCCTTACCTTCAATGAAAATTCCATGTTCTATATTATCGTAACTGTTTTTTTTTTTTTTTTTAAGAAATAAACTATAAACTGTTTTTCATGAAAGAAAAAATTATTTGAGCTTTGTAAAATTACTATAGACAACAATTTCTCGATTTTGATACTAACAATACGGGACATGTTTAGTATATAACATTATCTTTTAAATTATATTTATAAGAAATTATACTTAAATTTTAACCTTTTAAAAATGTATGACGAGCGTATTTATTTTCATATTAATCAAAATATTTGTTCTAAGTGATTTTCGATAAATCTTGAAAATATAGAGCGAGCATTTTTATTTTCATATTGGTTATAAGATATGAAAAATGGTTTTTAGATATGTTTTTATTTTTTAAGAAAAGTCATATTTCCATATTTAATTAATTTTTTATTCTTATCAAGAAGGATTTAGACAATTATTCTTGAGTAATGAAAATAAGCTTTATTATGAGAATTATATTATTTATTTATTCTCATTAAAGGGGTTGAAAAGTTAAATTCTCATGAAGTGAGAATAAGTTTTATTATGAAATTTTTAACATATTATTTTTATCCATTATCTTATTATTCCTAACAATAACATTATCGAAAAAGAAACAACAAATTTTAGCATGAATGTTACCATGGACCACTTTTATAAGTGATTTGCGGCGCACCATATTTCTTAAGTATTAGATTCATTTTAGTCCTATAATAATAGGATACATCTTTAACATTATTTTTTCTTCCTTCTTTGTTGGTCCTCTATTCTTTGTCTACATCGTCCCCTTTGCTATATTTTGTTCTTAGTTATCACCACGATGAGAAAGATTGTGACTATCTTGACACCTCCATGAAGTACCCTTTTGGGGTATTAATCATCACCACATCCAACACAATATCATATATCTCATTAGTGAGGTTGTGCAACAACTTACATTGCTTGTTATCGTGGAGTATTGTTAGTGCTAACGAGCATGTCATCTCCAAGCGATAATCAGAGAAAAGGTGATCTACATCACAAAGCTAGGTGCAGTTATAGCAAGTTGGGCTTGAAGGTCAATACTAGAGGTGTTTATGGTACAGTTTGGTTCAATTTTTACCTTAAAATTCATCTGAACCACACAAGAAAATTAAGTATGATTCGATTTTCTTTGATTTTGAATGAATTATGAAATTTGAACCAAATCAAACCAATTTTTTACGATTTTGTTTGATTCAATTTTTGCAATTTTTAAATTGTTTTATTTAAAAATAACTACAAATCTGTAATATTATGTTAGATATTTAAAATCGTACATCAAAAATAAAACTAAAAGTATACAAATACTAAAATATTTCGACCACTTAACGTATTTAACATTAATTCTTATCTTATTATTTTAGTAAAAATATTTTTTAATATAATTTTAGTTATTATATTAGATATTTTTTTCTCGTACATATTTCGTCACTTATTTTTTTTTCAAGCATTGTAAATAATTTATCATTTTTTTAAAATTTAGTTTAGTAATTTATAATTTTATAAAATATCTTTTAAATATTATAACATATATTTAAAGAAAACAACATCTTTTAATAACTTACAATTTTATAAAATATCTTTTTGTGTTTTGTGTTAATTTTTTATATACATGCACTGTGCATTTGGAATATATGTGTGTGTGTGATTTGATATGTTTTATAATGGTTTTACATTCCAATTTAAAAATCGAATTGAATTGTGTAGGCTTGAAAATTTAAGAACCAAATTGTAAATTTGCAATTTTTCAATGGTTTTAGATTTTTTTGAGCGATTTATGATTTTTTGTTTGGATTGATTCGATTTTGAACACTCCTAATCGGTACATTCTTAAGGACAACCTATACCCATTTGGTTAGACCTTTGGTTGAGGCCATCAGAGAAAGTTGACAAGGGCACTTTAGCGATTAGAGGACTTCAAAGGTGACGTATCAAATTATTGTGAAACATCTTTGAGGTGGCATAGCAAAGAAAAATGGGTCAAGTGTGGCTATGAGTACTAAATGCCAATTTGTTATCTTGTTGTATCACTAATAATGTGTGTGTTTGTTTCATTTCATACATTATGATCCATACAATTTGTCATAGAAACAAAGTACAGTCATCAAAATGTAACCACATAGTTAGATTATACACATAACTTAAAAACCAACTACTCATCCCCAACACATGCAACAAAAAAGGGTCTAAGTCAAGTTAAATCTACTTTTATCTACCTTTAACTACAAAAAGTGATGCTTGATCTTCCACAAGACTATTAAGAGTTTTCACCATGGTCAATCTTCATCTCCTTAGAGTCTCTTCCAACCTTAACAATGTAGTATGAATGCCCATTTGCACCTTAGATGGTTGCCTTATATCAGAGGGAGAAGGAGAGGTCATCCAACCAGTACCCGTCCCCATATGGTACTTGGGAAGGCTAATAGAAAAGGTAATATAACCTTGTGGAAATGATTTGAAGAATCAATGACGAGCGGAGGTACCGATAGCTTGAACAAATCATGTAAATAGACAATAAGATCATCTACGTCACTTGTTAAGAGTAATTGGGGTGACAACAAAGGATACACATAAATAAGATTCGAAGGGAGCAATGACAAGATGGTGACAAGCATAGTAAATGAAACAAGTGGTATACATGTATAAACACACAAACACGTGTGTATATAAGGAGAAACACAAGTGATAGTCACATATCATCGATGAGTGAATAGTTGGGATACCATGTTGTAGCTTCATGCGTCGTACTGACTATATTAAACATAAATGTTCAACGACACCATAATTTCTATTGCCTTCTCATATAAATTCCAAACACATGCACACAAATAAAACACAAATGAGCTAATAACTTTCACAAAAGGAAAGATAACCTACGTAGTCTAAAAGAAAATGGAAATCTAGGATTTCTAAGTTATTTTATCATACCCTTATCATCATATGGATCCATACTCCATTCATGAGCATCATTTACATCCACACGGAAGTGATTAAGAAGCCATATACCATTTCACCCCATGGTACAAAATCATTATCATCAAATTAAAGAATAATGAGTTTCAATATTGAGTTATTGTAACTCCACAAAAGAGGTATGTGTACTACACCAATTTTGGTGATGTTGAGCATGTATTATGGTGCTCAAATTTTGCAATGTATGTCTCGACTAAGGAATGTGACCAAGGATGAAACCACATTTAATATTACAAGGATAATAAATCCCTAAGATATTTAAATTGCCTTGTATCTCTATTGAAAAAATAAATTTGCCCCTAGCCCCTTCTTTCCCT